CGTTCCTGCTGCTGCAGGTGTTTCCGGAGAGCCCCGGTCCTGCTTTGCATGGGAGGTCTGACACGATAAAGCACAAAGTGGTATAGCTTCAGGCATTTCTCTAATATCTTTTCTACATCTGTAACATCAAATTGGTTCTAGCATAGCAATCCCTGGAGATGGGCCCAGCTGACACAGCGTTTCCATGTGTTCTGCCTCAGTCTTGTGTCCAAGAGGATTTCTCATTTCGGGGAGGATCAGTACATTCAGTTGGCATTTTTAGCTCTCTGCCCTTCTTCCCCTGTGGAAGACACTGGTGTAATAGATCATTAGTGTGTAGAATTTAAGGGACCTTTCCTTCTTTTCTCTTTTCTTTTTTTTTCTTTTCTTGTTTTCTTTCAGATACACAAAGAATCAGAGGACCAAAATTCAAGTATTTTAGTTTGAGATTTACACTGCTTATTTAATGTTCCCTTGGAATGAAGACTTTGTAAGGAAGTGATTTGATTGCTTCCCTCCCTTCTCTCCCCTCCGTGGACAGGGCATTTGCTATCCTAATGCTCTAATTTGACACGTTTGAAGATATCTTTTAAACACAGGGAGCACCTGGGCATGACTACCCATGAGGTGTAGTCTGAGCATAGTTTCTTATTTCTTACTACATTCTAAGTTTGATTTTTTCCAAGTAATTGAAAAATCTGTTACAGTGGAGGGCCAGGGCACCCTCATAACCATTGCAGACTTGAAAGCACTTCCAGCTGGCAGTTTGTCTCCATTGGCTCTAGGTTGATGGTGGGCTTGCAAAGACTAGTTTGGAAGTCAACATCTAACTTAGAGGAGGGGTGTTCCCCCAGTGATTATGCTATCTAAATTCTGAAATGGAAACATTGGTCAGGTTTGAATGAAATATACTTACTCAATAGGAATTTTTGCATCATCCAGTTAAGTAGTTCACTCTGCACTGCCAATGGCCTGTTAGCTTCTCCATAGATTTAAGAAGGGGAAATACATGTACAGCATAGATGTTTTTCCTATTTCTTTTCATTGTACCCTTCACCTTGAAATATTTGTGCCTAACATGCTAATATGCTGGAAATGAATAACTTCACAGTGAACAAGGTGAGCTGGGCTGTATCTAAACACAATACTCCTTGTGCATATACTAAAAATTTGATCTCACAAACAGAACCATTGATATCTGTTGGGACTGGGACCTGTTACGTACGCAGGGAAGTACAATTCAACATGTATTTCATTTGTTTCAAGTGTGAAAATTTCCGGGCTAGTAAGGACGTGTACCACAGCAGTTCACTGTCAGATATGGTGACGACACCACTCAGCCCTGTGCAGGATGACGTATTCTGGAGCGTGAGTCAAAATGAAGAACAACCCCCAAAGGTATGTGAAACTCGGGGTGTTTGGCACTGTCGGTGGTTAATAGCGCTCTGCTCAGTTCTCTTCCACTCTGTAGTATCCATCCCCTGGACTTCATGAAACTGAGTGAAAAATTAATTGCTTTGTACATTAACTGGGTCTCAGTTTTCTCTAGAAAGAAAATATGCATTTATGAGCAGGTCAGTGTTCTGAGTTTATGTGTGTGTATCTGCGGGATTTGCGAATGCAGATATGCTTCTTTTGTTAGACCAAGTACTCGTAGCTGCCCTTTCTGTGAAAAATCTGGCTTCTTGCAGAAAAACTCATTAGTTTGTATAATTCAGGCGATGATGTATTTCTCTTTTTAGCAGAATTCCTAAGAATAAGTACAAAATATTTGTGTGGGGATGTGTATGGGTATGCATGCATGTATCCATTTTATTACTTTGCAGTTGGGCTGTGTCTCTTCCTCCAGCCCTTTGGAAGCAACATAAGCATCCACCGCTTAGAGAAAGCTGCATTAAGTGACTGCATATGTTTTCCCTCTCTACTTTAAATACTGACCAGGATTAATGCTGCCTCTAGGGAATGGTGCAAACCACTTGTAGTCTGCACCCTGATAGATTGCACAGGCTTGGAGCAAGTTGGAAGCATGTGCTGCTGACTTGCAGCTTCCAGTATTGATATCATGGAAGATCTCTCCACAGGTCCCACTGAAGCATTATTGGTTTATGTTGGTTAGTCTTATTTTTGCATTGATACAGGGTAAGCATTAGCTTTATTACTTGAGTCTAAAATATCACTAGCAAACTTAAAACATTTGATTAAATCCTTAAGGTTCCAGAAAGGACAACCTCTAAATTTTACAACAGGGATCAGCCTGGCCATCAGAGATGTCTTTCAAGGTAAGCTTTTAAGCATTTTATACTTATACTAGTGCTGATTTATTGTTGATAGGAAAACTAAAGCCAATTTATTAAAAACAAAGCCATAACTTCAGTGCCACCAAAACTGACATGAGTTCATACTTCATTCAATAGCAGTTACAATTTTGTCTTTTGAGTCAGTTTGTTCACAAAAATAACTAATCAAACTTCCTGATCTTAAACCTGAAGGAAGTGTCTAAGCCAGCTTCCTTTTAATGATTGACATAACTGATTTAAAGAGAAACAAGCCTCTTGTAGATCTCCTCCTCCTTTTCATTCACGGTAGTTCTGTCTTCTGCTGGAAAGAAGTATTTGCAATACATAAGAGCTGTTCCATCTGTACTAATTCCTGCAATGAGTTGTTTCATTTGGTTCAGCTTGTTTGGCATGCCCGAGTGGGTTGCATGCAAGTTGTGCACCGATTTCCCAATTAACAGGCAGCGCGTTGTGCAGTCATTTAACTTGTGATTTGGTGATGCTTTACTTTCCCTCACATTAGAGGAAGCGGCTGATGAAGGTACAGGTTACTTAAGATCCGAGTCTATTGGCACTGATGGTGGCAGGAGGGAGCGGTGTTGATCGGGGCTGCCTGGATGCTCTTGCAGATGCTGTACATCAGCGCCGACACTGTTTGTTTCGAAGGGGAGTTAGGTGCCTGGATACTTTGGCGAGTGGGGATCTGGCCCCAGCTCCCTGTATAGGCACTTATACCTTGTGCCTGTAGTTTTGTTTTGCCTGGTAGTAGCTTGAACAGGCTGTCTGTAGACATATCTTGACTGTTTTGGCAGTCTGCCCTTAAGGCTAGTGTGCTTTTTCCTTATCCCAGGAGAAAAGACCAAGGATGCAGAGAGCTCAGCGGTAAAGGGTAGCCCCCACTGGATGTCTAATCAGGGAACATAATGCTATGAGAAACAAGGGTTGGAGAGATTTGAAAGGGAAGTAGATTTAGCTGACATACCAAAATAATGTGCAGCACTGCTGATGAGCCAGAGTCAGAAACATCATCTGAAATAACTTTCAAGTGAAGTCAAGCCCTAAATGCTTTCTACTTAGGAATTATAGGAGGCAAAGCAGAAAAGAAAGATGTAAGTAAACCACAGCGTTACAAGTGTGTGGCTTCTGAGCCTGGGTTTCTAGGTGAGCCACTGTTTTACTTCGTAAGCTTGGCAGCTTGTTTTACTGTCTGATGCGTTCCTTTCTCCGTTGATAAGTGGGTGATTATGTATCTTCTAAGAGCGTGCTGGAGCAGGTTTCACTATTTCTAAAAGCCATGAGATTTTGAAATCAGGAGTGTCACAGATCTGAAGAGGCCAAGGGAGAAGTACATGTGTTAGAATATTTTGTAATGACTTGGGAGTCTGTAATCTTCCAGAATGACTGCCCAGAGGAAACTGCCCCCTCCATCTTCTCTCACTACTGGGTGGCCCTGCTTGGTGCAGCAATGAATATAAAATTTTTGTTTATCAGGAGCATTATATCATACAGTAACAGCAGGGAACTCGATTCAGTCACCTAGGAGGTCCGTTCCAGTCCGTGTTCCTGCATGCAAGATAGTCTGATGTGCTTTTTGTCTTTCTGTTTAGTAACACTCATCAGTCATCCCCCGGGGGACATGCTCTGAAGCTAAACAGCAGCAGCAGCACTCCTGGCAACAAGCAGTGGGAGATGGGATCTCATCAGAGCAGCTGGTCAACCTCAGGTGATTCCTAAGTCAAAGATTCATCAGTCAAAATGCGCAAAATTCCTATCACGTGAAACGGGCTTCTGCAGAGTGTCAAGTGCTGTGTTGCGAGTGGGATTTTCTTTTTTTTAATGATGTCTTCTGGTGATAGGCTTTTGAAAGCCCTCTGGATCTTATGGTTCCATTTTCCTAAAATGTAAATGCTTCCTCTTTTGAGTCAAAAAGTGACTGTGAACGTATTTCCCTGTAGAAAATTTGAATTGCCTCAATTAAGAATTGAAAAAAAAAAATCAGTTGCACTTACTGACACCATTGAAACTCAGCAGAGCCAATATTACAGACATTCAGATGTAATTCAACACCAATATTCACCCATTGGCATTTTCTGCATAACCATATGCTGCTTTTTTTGCATTGCCCACTAGTAAGATGATATAGATGAGCAGTTGCTGTACACTGTTTCTGCACTCTGATAGCGTACTGGCTGAAGGAAACGTAAGACTCTCTGTACAGCATCTTATGAAACATTCCTCCAGTATTCTTTTATTTGCAGAAAGATAGTGGAACTGGAAAAAAAGGCAAAAGAAGTTAAAAGGTAGAGATAGCCTCATCCAATTTAAGCAAAGTGCAACTTTGTAAGGTATCTTGGTACCACTGGTAGCAGCGTAGGAACACAGTGGCCTTGCTCATGGTTGTGCAGATTTTTTGCAGTACTGACTCTGGTTCCTGAGACTTGACATGAGGTTCTGGTAGATGGGGACATGGAGCAGAAGTGGACAGCTTTGCCCCTCTATTGTTATTCCTACGGGCGTTTTCTGAGGGTCAACTGTAGGGCAGTTTCTTGCGTAGCAGCTTGCAAAGCAGTGGTGTGTTATGATGATTTGCGTCCAGGTTGACTACTAAAGATGGAGGACATGAGGAATCACGCCCAATTCAAAGCAGGGTGGATGCTAAAAATGTTCTGAAACCACACCAGTGAGCTGCTGAGGTCATTTATTTTTAAATTGAGGCTTACATTGTTAATTTGCAACCTCTTGATAAATGAAGAACAAGTTGCTTATTTATTACACTTACACAATCGAGCCAGTTTTGCTTTCACTAATTACACAGAAGAGGAAGCTTTACTTCAAGAGAAATCCAAAGCACACTTTAAACTGCTTGGGTTTTGTTTCTTTTTGCCCTTATGTCATTTTATGTTTGAATAACAGCGTAGTGATGAACAACGTGCAACAGCCCAGCTCAACTTTGCAGTGTCTGCGTGATGTGTAACTCCTGTGCTATTTTGGCATGGGGAAATGAAAACCTCACCAGCAATGGAAAGAATAGAAAACCTCCCTTGTGGTTTAAACTGTCTCCTTGGGTTCTTAAGTGTCATTAAATTACAGCTTGTTCTGGCGTATGGTGTTCCAGAAAGAGTTTGTTGCTTTCCCAAACCCACAGGGATAATGAATTGGGCAGGAAAGGGCTATAAATACTTTAATACTTCTTCTAAGTTGCTTAGGTACTCGTTGACCAATAAGGAATTCTGAATTATAAAAGCTTTGCAAAACACATGAATACGTGAAGCCATTGCGATAAAACTATCTCAGTTACCAAATACAAATCCTAATTTGTGTGAGCTTGAATTCTATCCCCTTAACTTGCAAGGAGTCCTGTTGGTAGCATGGGGATTGTCATGGGAGAAATTGCTGAACGAGGTGGTGGCTGGTGTGTCCCAGGGCAAGATGTGAGGACATCTGTTTTCCTTCCCTCCGCTTATATCAGGAATTGTGTGCAGAAGACAGCACCTCTCCAAGGCTGCTTTTGTTCTTCCCAGGTAGCTATGTGGACAGCGGGGGCATTGAAAGGGAAGATTCACTTGATTACTTGCAAGGATCCCTCCTAACATGGCGTCAGCGTGTGCAGATGGACTCCAGCTCCTCTAGTCTAGTTTGCTTGGGTATTCAATAGCTGTGCAAGCATGGTGGCAAGTGTAGGTCCCCAAGCCACCTGGGAGGGAAGCATACCTGACCTTGGGCAGAGTGTCATAAGGTGCCACCTGACGCTGAGTTGGCCTGTGGCCGGGGCCAGCTCTCTCTGCTAAAATGAGGGCTGTTATTAGCTACTTCCCCATGCCACACAGTGGAAGTGGGAGCTGAGAAGTGACACTCCATGTGCCCCAAGGGAAGCAGGGACTGGAAAATGGTTCTGCCTGTGCTGCCATGGGAAGTGGTGAATCCTCTTCTGCTTTTAGCTTGACCCCATGCTCATGAGTGAAGTTTAGAGCAGCTGTTTGCCCCCAGCCCAGTTGGGCTTAGGGAATCAGATCCTTCAGACTGTTTTTGTGCAACAGTTTTATGAAGGCCAGATCTTGGCACCACATCTGTTTGCTCATGAACGTGTGCACTGGGGGCCCAGGCTCTTATACCTTCTCCCTGACCCCTGTCTGCAGTCACAGGAATATAGCTGGGTGGCACCTTCAGGGCTGGAATATACCTGGCGGTTGCTGATGTGATGAGCTGTCCCCACTCAAGAAGGGGACCAGAGGAGGGGATTGGCATGCCCTCAGCCTTTTCCCTTGCAAGCTGCCTGCCAGTCAATGAACTGTTGCTGGTGCACAGTGGGAGTATGTTGCCAAGGCTTCGGTCTGCTTGTCTTAATCTTGCAGCATTAAGCTGCACCAGTATCGATTTATATACATAATACTGTGGCATCCAGAACCACTGGGAAACAATTGCAAAGATTTCCCTTTGCAACAAAGAGAAGAAAGAAATTTGTCAGCAGAGCCTGCTGTCTGCTTTGAGTGATAACTATATGTGCTTGTCTTACTGGTCTCCTCTCTCACTCTGCTGCACATGCATTTAAAAAAAATAAACTTTTTTATTTTTTTTCTTTTTTTCCCAGGGAATCCAGGACCGGCCAAGGCAGAGAATGCTTTGTCCCAGAACCACTTGCAGCTGCCTAAGAAGTCTGAAAAAATATCTCATCCAGGGCAGATTGCAGTAGGTTCTTTTAAATCCACTGATATTTTTTATTTGTTCATAGTTTTCACTAAGGGCATGTCTATGCAGACAGCTCCTCTGTTGGTGTTTGAGTTTGTTAGCTAATGAGTCCATTTGAGAGGCCACGTGGGGCTGGCTCAAGCTTACTGCTGCATTAATGTGTCCCCTCAGCTTTTGGTCCAGGTCTGACTTGTGTCCAGCTCAGGTTGGCGGCAGAGAGTTCAATTTTCCTGAACCTGCCTGATCGTAAATCTTTAGAAAGGAAGGATATATCTTTACTATTTCAGGAAGTCATTGATCACTTGTCATGCAACCCGAAGTCAAGATCATGTCTGTGGGTTGTGCAAATATCCACTGTGTAACTGCCTGGAATATGTGCTCACCAGGCTGTGTCACGCTCAGGACTGCCCTAGCTCTCCATTTGCTGACGTGTCACTGGTGGAAAGGATGATTGCTACTCCTCTGTCTTACTTAGTGAGGCATTTCTCTTCTTTGGTGGTAGTTTTTAGGGGGGGAGAGGCAGGGATGCCTATTAGACAACTGGAGCTCACGGTGCCTCATGAAGGAGCTCATATGCGGGATGCTTGGCACTTCACAAGTTTGTGGGATGCTTGGCGTTTTAAAACTTCACAGGCAGGCCTGGGTGGCTCCAGGGGATGCGGAGCGGGGCAGCAGGGGACAGCAGCAGCTTGCTGGAGTCCCCAGTGCCTCCTGGCTTATCAGGGACTGGAGGTTTGAAGAAGACTCTGTATTTAGGCCATTGCCAGTGACGTGGGAGGCCTTTATATGAGTTCCTGGAGGACTGGGAAGTCTGACCGCCCTGTGGGAGCGAGCCGTGGCTGTGTCAGTATTATCTTTCCAGCCCGAAGCGGTTCGTACCTGGTCAGCACAGGCAGAGCCGGTGCTCAGGCGTGGCCCCGCGAGCCCCGAGGTAACCCAGGGCTGGAGCAGAACTCAGGCTGGTGTGATCCTGCAGTCCTGGTGCAGAGCACTCCTTTTCTTAAGAGAAAAAAGGAAGTATTTCTGTGGTCCTGCAAAGTGCAAAAACTGAATCATAAATGTTTGAGATTCAAAATAACATACTGACTAAAGTTAGTCACCTTTCAACTTTTAGGAAAACCAAGTGTTATGGCTTAGGTCACTTTCCTGTGTGAAATACCCACTTGTGATGGACCAACAAAAGCATCAACTTCCTAATAAAGCTTTTTTGGTGTGGAAGTGATGATAACTATGTTTGCTGGGACAGTAAAATACTGCACATGCTGTTTAGCGATGGGTTCTTCCATGAGTTAAAAAAAAAAAATCAACTGGGTTTTCTTTACTTAGAGTTCAGGCTCCTTTGCCAAGGGAAAGGACGGTGCCAGCTCATTCTTAAAAGCAGCAGACTATTCCTCATCAAGTGACGAAGTCAGCAGCAGTGATGAAGATGACACAAACCACACAGGGTTGGCTTGATTTTTTTTTTTTAAATTATTTTCTTATTACACACTCCTAAATATCTGGAAAAAGTTGGCATACATAAATACTACCTCCCCTCTGAAGTTACTATCAGTCATTTATGTTAGTGGTAATTAAGCAGTTTAATTGCACTATAATGAATTCCTGGGGGTAAATGTTTGCTCCATCAGGTGTATGCAGTGTAATAAGCTTTGACTTGCTGCCCTGGGACAATGAGATGTCTTGTTTTAACTGAATAACAATAGGTAGTGCTTTTATAGAGATTACGTTACATTGATCTATGTTTAAATGGAATTTTTGAAAGAAAAAAAAGGAGATGGAAAGGAAACTACACCTTCATGCTAAAGACAAGTTGCAGTGAAAAAAGCAAGGCAAACATGGCCCTTGTATTCAGATAGTCTGTTCACTCCAAGAGAAATAATTCCCACTGAAAAGTTGATTCCTTCACCAGGGCTGTTTGTAACGAGGGGATAGTGTAAGCAGGATTTGTTTTTGTAAAAGTTGCTGTATTTTTAACATTGCTATTTTGCACAATTTCTGCGGTTGCCAGATGATGCTGTGGCTTGTACCAAGCTGTTCTCACGTGAACTGTTTCTCTCTAGCTTTCCAGTTTCTCTTGTTGATTTTGTGACTGACATCTTGTGGTGTTTTACCTGTCGCACAGAATGTGTATTCTGCTGAGAAATAATGGAGCGTGAATAGCTTGCTAGTCCAAGGGAGAGTCAGGGGATCAGTTGGCCAGCCCTGCTGTTTGGAACAGCAGACAAAATCATTTTTTAGTATTGATGAATAAAACTTCTAATTCACTTGCAAATAGTCTTCAGTTTAATTCAAGTTCTAGGATTTACGTTGAAGCAGGGCCACAGAGCTCTCTGGGATGCGGCTCTTGCTCTTCTGACACAATTACATATGCGGTTTTGTCAGTCTTCAGGAAGAGATGCACAGATTTGTAGCACTGTTGGCAAGCTATTGTGTTGGCCTGGTACCAGTCCCTTCCCCTATGCTGCTCTGAAGAAGGTAGAGTTTTTGCACCTGCATATGCTCCTGATTTGCATTTCTGAAGTTCATTTTCAAAGCTGAGGGATGAGGAGGGAGAATGTTAAAAATCTTGTAGCTTATTCAGTGCACCTGAAAGATCTGTCTTTTTACTGTAAAGCCTTTATTTTCTTACTGTTCCTCTTCCAAACCACCTTATTCTGATCTGTAAAAAGTTTTATTCACTCTAGGTCATAGAATTCATCCTAGACCTCAGAAAGACTCTACATAAAAATATGGATTTGCCCTGTAGCAATGACTTTGCTGTGTAAGTGTTAGATTGCTGTGATCCTTGCATGCTGTAATGATTTGAAGGAGTGGTATCACTGCCTTTGGAAATCTGCATGTGTTATTTGCATCTCCTCTGTGTGTGAGATCCACCGGTCCTCTAGAGAAGTGGAATTAGCAGGACGATCCCCATCAGGTTTGCCTCCTGTGCACACAGCCACCACAAGAACTCCTGTAAAAGCAAAAGTATAATCTTGTCTATTAATCAAAGTCCCTTTACCTCGGCTGAAAGTCATTTATATTAAAAAGATAGATACTTTGGAAAATACGTCCTGATTACTACCAAGTAAATAGCAAAAAGGATAGTGATCAAAGTGTAAGTGGCAGCCAGCATTGGAACTTTTGCATATTCTGGATAAAGTGAAGGGTTTTGTTTTTCTTGCTATCCAAAGCATGTGAATGCAGGATCTGAAGCCCCTTGCAGTCTGTAGGAGTGTTTCTGTGTGGGCTTTGGCTGAGACACCTTGGCACAAGTTTTAGTTGGCTATTGAAAACAATCTGTGTTTTCTTATTCTTGCCTGGGCTGTGCAACAGCTTTTGATGTCCACGCTCCAGCTTTCACAGAGGTGCCCAGTAGGACTAGACTTGGGACGTGCACATGTGCAAGAGAAAGGGCTTCATGTTCTCTTGGACGAATCCTGTTAACCACCCTGAGAAGGCTCATTTCTGAGGAAGCCAGGACTAAGGGCAGCTGTCTTTCACCAGTAAAACAACATTCAGTCTTGTTTTTCTTTTCGGTGAGATGAGCCAGAATTCTTCCTTGCACACACCAGGTTTTTGTTTTAAGGAAAGGGTGTCAGTGTACGTGATCCAGCATCTTACCCGCTTGTATAGCTTATCTATTCCATTGCTGCTAATTTCTCCTGCTCTACTGAGAGTGCTTCTTCCTCCGATGCCTGCAGCATTCATAATCCTCCTAAACCACTGAGTTTCCTGGGATTCATTTTGTGTGGTTCAGTTTCCTCTCTCTGCTCTTTATATGCTGTTCCCCACCACAATTTGAATGAGGTGGGTGCAGGTGTGTGCTTGGCTAGGAATTACTTTCTCCCCCTGGTAGGTGGGAGGTTGTCATCATTGAAGATCAGCTGTTGCTTGCTTTCCTGGTAAGAACAGGTCCTTGTATTCACCATTGATCCTACTCTGTATCTTGCCATTCTTTCTAAGTTTAGTATGCAAGTATTTACCTCTCCCATAGAAGGAGGAGGACCCAAAACCAAAAATTAAACAACAAAAAAAGCCACAAAAACTTCTACTCCTTCACAACCACCTTAAGTCGGTAACTCTCTCACCAAACGTTCTTTGTTATCGCATTGGGCAACATTTTAAAAAACACAAACAGCCCTTGCACTCTCCTAGCAGTTGTGGCTCTACAGCACTGTAGACAGACAGGATACTGGGCTAGGTGGGCTTTTGGCCCCAGCCAGTCCTGCAGCTCTTACATTCTTTTGTCTCTATGTGCACTGGGCAACATTTTTTTTTGTTGCTTTGTATGTAAGGTGAGGATGTCCATGTTTCAGGGACTGATTCACAGTATGAAATTTCACCGTAGCCTGTCCCAGTAGGCACTGGCAGAGAGGTCCCTGATACCAGTATATAGGGGAGCAGCGGCTCTTACCCGTGCAAGTGTAGCTGAATCTCTTTCTCTGGAGAGCAGGGTGGTCATGACTGGACCCTGCAGAGTAGTGTGTGAGGGGAGACAGGAGAAGTTTTGAAGTGGGCACTTCTCAAGTGACAGCTTGAGGGACCAGCTCTCACTTTCCTGAGCTATGCAGTGTCTGAAAAACGACAGGTGAAACGCGGGGAGATGAAGGGATGCTCCCCTTCAAGGTGGGGAGAGCTTCCTGCTGTGTGTGAGTGCTCCTCAGGCTCAAGTCCGTTCACGCACATCCACAGACTAATCAGCTTGCTTTTGTACAAGAACCTTTAAGTGTAACTAGTGAATGTTAATTATGCTTACTTTTGAACATGTATATGTTGGGGGTTTTTTTGGTTTTTGGGCTCTGGATTTTTTTTTCCCTTGAAGTAGTTCTGTTCATTAATTGGAGTTTGTTACCAGGCAACTGCTAAGCAGCAGAGTGGCAGATTTCTCAAGGACGAGAGTACCAGATGGAATTGAACTGAAACCCCAAAGCACCGTCGCAGAACAGAAGGTAATTTGGCCATTTGTAAGGGGGTGGGTACAGTGGGGGGGAGTCAGATCGTTAGTGTGCATGATAAACGCTGTATCCATTTCTTCTCGGCAGCATTTTCACTCTGAAGTCCTGCTCTGACATTGCAAATTATAGCTATAAAGCTTGAAAAAAATGTGTAGTTTCAGGTTTTGTGCATCCTATAAAAATGCTTACATTTAGGTACAAAATTGCACTTCTTTATTTGTCCTTGTTATTGACCTGGTAGTAGTTTCTGATGTCAATGTATTTCTTGAAGGCACTGGGCAGGTTGCAAAAAGCCAATCGTTGTTGGTGTGCATTGTTGCTATTTTTAAAAATCTTGACCTTTTTTATTCAGATTTAAAGAGAACTACCTCTTACTACTTAAAATATTACCAGAAGAGGGGAAAACCACTTCATCTCTCCCTACTGACTTAGCAAAAATACATCTCCTATCATATGTCATGTTAAGCTTTCTTCCCAGCTGTAGTTTCTAGTAGAGACTTCAAGTCATGTGGATTTTCCCCTGTGATGAATATTAGTGCAGAAAAGATGAAGACAGACAAAGCAGAACAATGTTCATTGTGGTTGAAAACAAAACAAAAAAAAAATCACAGTAATAAGACTTGCACTCAGCATCAGAGCACTTCTCACATATTACTGAGTGTACTCTCATTTCACAGGTAGGGGAAATAAATTGCTATGAAACTGGTGTTTTTCGCAGAACTGGTTGTGTGAGCTGTGGCAGGGCTAGGAAGAGCAAGGAGTTTTCTTTACCTCTGGTGTGATTTCTAAGCTTCAGACCAGAGTGACATCCTTCCTGACTGCGGAAGGAGTCTCGCATTGCCTTTGTCACACCATCCTCAAGGAGAAAAGACCCTCCGTCGGAGAAGGAATTATAAACAGGGCAAACTCAGTATTTCTCTTGTGGCAAAACCATCCCTGTACTTTCCCTTTCCCCTGATATTTGGGCATTGGAAGTAGACTGCTTGAGGGAAAGGAGGAGGATGGGGTCTTTGAGTCCCAGACTGAGCATGAGGGAGGATGGAAAAGAGTGGAGGTTGTGTTTTTTGGTGCGTTTGGGGAGGACAATGCAGGAGGGAGAACAGACAGATGGCTGCAGCCTCTGCTCACAAATCTCTGATGCCTTCCGGTCTTCACCCTCCTTCTCATGGAGAATCCTATCCGTTCCTCCCACCTCTGTTTCACCAACCACAGCCATCATGAGTCTCTACGACTTCTTCCAACATCCCGTTCCCTGGCCCATCAGCATGAACTGGTTTGACGTGGTTAGGGTGTCCCAAACTGCCAAAATGATTCAAATGGGAGTTTGGTTCAGTTCAGCTGAATCCGACTCAAAACTGGACAAAAAAGGCTCATACTTGCTTGATTCCCTAATCTCTAATACTGACATGTATGTTTTGGTTTGGTGTGGTTTTTTTATATCTAAATTAAAATGTAAAATACTTAGAGCATCAATTTGATTTCTAGTTAATTACTTGGCTTTTAAAACACAAATGTCTTTTATTTAGAATTATCTACTTTTTTCACCATATTTTGGCCAGCATTCAAAAAAGCTGATCTGATTTGAGTAGGTTGTTTGTCAAAGTCAGTATAACCTACAGACTTGCCTTGAATTCAACCAGTTCGAGTTTGGTGGTGCTTTTTGCTTCTGTGTAACTCAGGAGGAATTTTCTAGTGTACTACTTGGCTCCTCTCGCTCTCTATATTCCAGTGCCGATGGTGTTCAGGTACCCTGACCCATCATGGCCAGGGATAGATCCCTCTGCAGTGCCCTCCCCATCTGGGACACCACTTGCTTTACATACCCCATCTTTCTTCCTCTCGAAGCTTCTAGCCATGTATGCCCAGAAACCAACCTCTGACTCCATATTTTGTGCCATTCGGGGAGAGAGAGCTTGTGTGGTGCCTCACATCTTACAGAGTTTACAAGTATTTCCTTGAAGCTGGTGGGATCCTGTAAGGAGGTCTGCAGTACCAAACATCATTGTACTGGAAAAGCTGATACTGGGTCCTACTGAATGTCATCATTCTAGAATAAGATTTCGTAATTCACTAGGTGGAAAGTAGCAGTGAAAGGAATGGTAAGGGGCTTTGAACTAACTGCAGGTCCAGAACTGAGAAGTACCTACTGTGCTAGGTGGAGGTCAGATCTGTAACATTAGGACAAGTCATTTGATTCTGTCTCAAGTGTCTCTGAGGATGACGTTGCTTCTTTACCTGTGGTTGAGGTAACATAGATGAGGAACATTTGTGGAGGACTTCAGGAGTGGAAGCCAGTGTTGATGTCTCAGGTGTTTGCCACACACTTTTGTGGTTTTTTTTTTTAATTGTAAAATTTCCATAGGGTTTGTCTTTACATGATGCATCACGCAGAGCACCCCTCCCCATATGCTCATTATTTATTGTCTGCATTAACAGAAGTTGCATAGTGCATTGGAAGTATGCCAAATGTGGAGTTTAACTATATGTTCTCACGTGCAGGATCAGATTTTAGGGAAACAAATTTCTAGCACCCAAGAAGGCCTCTGGAGCGTAAACAACCAGAACTATCTCCTGCCAGATCTCCTCCAGCAAAGCCAAATTTCAGACTCTTCTGTGAACCAACCAAAAGTGCCACTGACTAGCCAGGAACCTCAGAACAAACCTCTGCATAAGGTAAGAGATAAATTACAGATTGAATGAGTTGTACCATCATTCTCCTCCAGCCCTTAGGAGCCTGTGATTAGAGCCTTTTAACTTCATTTATCCTATCTCTTTTTATGATGAGATTTTTTTTACCACATCTCTTCTTTTCTTTAAAAGTTTTACCTAGGGGACGGATAAGAAATCTTGAGCTCCGTAACAGCTTTTATTGTTCCACTTGTTTGCCCCCATCTCTCTCTGCTCCCTTTTCTTTACTTCCTTTTTTTCCCTCCCCTTAGAAGTCAGAAGTTGTTCTCTCTGGTCTTTTACCTGTCATGTCAGCTCTTGTCAGCCTCTGCTCATCATCCCTGGCTTTCTTCCATCCAAGTGTCCGGTGGGAGAGCGGAGGGGCCGGGACAGGATGTCTCGGCAGCCCTGAAGGGACTCCAGAGGGTCTCTTGGGCAGAAGTGTGTCACTGGAGGCAGATAACAGCTCTGTCAGGGGTCACATCCTAAACTGCCTTACTTGAGGCAGCAGTGTCCTCCTTGCTGCAAAGAGATTTGAGCAATGCCCTGTTGCAGATGAGACAGCCGGGAGTGATCGACTTGCTCTTCTTCTGGGGACAGGTTGTTTCGGTGCAGTGCCTGGCTCAGCATCCCCACACAACTGCCTGCTCAGGCCTCCTCTTCTGTCACTAAATTTGCACCATCTATCTACTGCTTTAAGACTGTTCATCATGTCTAAGTGTGCCATGTGCCATTTCTTCTGAACCTCAGAGGCTGTGCATTGCTGTCTGCTCCCCTAGTATCATCTTCCTGAAGCAGCTCTTGTTTTTCATTGTAGACCCCATGCACTGAAAGCACACCTTCAAAGAGCAGTACGTCATCTACAGCATCGTTTACTGCATTCATAGATCCTAGACTTCTGCCAATCACCCCTCCCACCAGTCCTGTAGGACCTTCCTGTAGTTCTCGTGAGTATGCTTTGCTCTTCTCATATAGTGTCACTCCTGGTTTCTTTTTTTTTTTTTTTTTCTGGGAGCGGGGAGGGCCTATTGCTTGGAGATGGAAACTGTCAGTAACATCTCCAGAAACCGAAACTCCACATTGCTATGAATTTTCATTGTACTGCTTCTGCTTATCTTCCAGATGTGGCTT